TACATTTCGAGTCAGCAGTCAGGAGCTCGTCTGAAGAGCAGGGAATACATTTCAAGTCAGCAATCAAGAGCCCGCCTGGAGAACAAAGAAGTACAATTCAAGTTTTAGCTTTCAAGTTCTTACTGATATTTGGTAATGTGATCCATTTTACACTTACATGTGTACCCAGATACCCAAACGGGGGCAGAAAATGTTATTTGTTTTTATCTATTTTGTTAAAGTCAGGAGCCCGCCTGGAGAGCAGGGAATACCTTTCAAGTTCAGCAGTTAAGAGCCCGCTTGGAGAGCATGGGAATACATTCAAGTTTAGCAGTCAGGAGCCCGCCTAGAGAGCATGGGAATACATTTCAAGTTCAGCAATCAGGAGCCCGCCTAGAGAGCACGGGAATACAATTCAAGTTCAGCAGTCAGGTGCCCACCTGAAGAGCACGAGAATACAGTTCAAGTTCAGCAATCAGGAGCCCGCCTAGAGAGCACGGGAATACAATTCAAGTTCAGCAGTCAGGTGCCCACCTGAAGAGCACGAGAATACAGTTCAAGTTCAGCAGTCAGGCGCCCACCTAGAGAGCACGGGAATATAGTTAAATTTTGGCAATCAGGCATTCACCTGAAGAAAAGGAAAAGCATCTCATATTACAATTCAAGTCAGCAACAAAAGAATCTCGCGGCAAGAATGCGAGTCAACAGTCCGAGGTGATCAAAGTTAGTCACAATAAAGAAAAAAATGAAAGGCAATAAGTGAATCCAAATACAGAAGTTGATGGAAGACGTGAACTACTTAAGACATGGTGGAAGTCACAAGCACTGCATGCCCGATTTTGATCCGAAAAGCTGAAGAAGAACGAGCTAGCACCTGCAACTATCAAGCGTCAAGGTTCAAAAATAAAGTCTGCATGAAGAACCATTCAAGACTCAAGATCAAGCTTCAGAAGACTTATAGATAGGAATCTTGTAACTCATAGTTGACAGGTTTAGTTAGTCTTTTTCATTTGATTTTTTGATAAAATAACATGAACCGCGGACCGGAACCTCGGCGGAATGACACCTCGACCGGATCTCCACCTCGGCATACTCCGTCATCTCACTCATCTCTAAACTACACTGACCTGATTCCTTTATAGCCAAGGATATGTAGGCAACCTCGGAAGCAGGGTGCGGTCAAATCTTTCAAAATGCTTCCCACAGAGTATTCAAACGGGCAAAAATCGCTCGTATCCGCTCACTTTATTTTTGCACGAAAACTCTTCGTGTTTCCGGGCAAAGAGGGGCAGCTGTGAGCACGTGATGTTTTTCATATATGAATTACTCCCATAAATTCAAAATAAAACTATTTTTCCATTGTTCGCAATTTTGTGAATATTTGAGGCATTTTCTGTTAATTGTTTACATATTGCCTAGGCATGTTTATTTTATTTAATTAATAAAAAATACAAAAATACACTGCATTTGCATTTAGGATCTAATTTTGCATTCTTGAATTAATTGTTAATCTAGTATTTTATAAAAATAAAAAAAAATCACAAAATAGTTATTGTTGCACTTTTAATTCAATTTTATGTTTAATTTTAATTTAGGGTTTCATGTTTAATTTTGAGAAAAAAAAGAAAGAATTTAAAAGAGAAAAGAATTAAAAAGGAAATTGAAACAAGAGGAGGAATTCTGATTTGGGCCATGTTTAATTGCCAAACCCCAGCCCAAATAATTTCCATCCCCCAAGCACGTCCGGTCCAGCCCAAAACCCGCCCATGATACCCGATCCACCCCCAAACCTAAACGACGCAGTTTGGATTGTGGAATCTGAGCCATTGATCTCCCCTTGATCAAACGGCTCAGAACTGAAGCTTCATATGTATATTAGTGTCCAAATTCACCCCTACCCCCTCTCATCGTCCCCACACCCTCAGAAAATCCTTCGTCACCTCCGCCATGAGCCGCCTGCCGGAAATCGTCTCCTCCGACGGCGTTGGTCCAATCAATGCCAGATTAATACCATCAATTCTTCTCTTTCTCCTCTTTCCAAATCTCCAAATCCCCACTCTCGAATCTCAGCCTAGCCTCTCGAATCTCCAATCGAAAATTAGACCAGAACCCTAGTTTAGCCAATCGACCCCAAAAATATACCACAGAACCACTAAGCGCTCCTCATTCCAAATCCTCACTCCGTTTTCGTCGAATCTCCCCAGAACTGTTCGAATCTTATTTTAAAGACATGAACCCTAAATTCCCAACATTCGAATCTGTGAGTTTCATTGAAGATTTGAGATCGAGGTTAACCTTATTCGTGTGTTTTCATTTGAAAACACACGATTAAGGCTCATTTCGGCCACAGTCAAAAGGTCTGGGTTTGATTTCAAGATTTGGCCGCCCTCGTTAGGTATCCTTTTCATTTCCTTGTCTTGCATGTTTTCTTTTTCTTCATTTGATTTCATTTTATTCTTTGCTGCATCATCTTTTCTTCTCTTCATCATAGGTTCATCAGTCCGTCTGTCCCGTTTTGCATATTTAGCTTAATATTACGTTTAGTCCATTTGTTTTGTTATTTAGTTCATTCCCATTTTCTCTTCTGTTTCTGATTCCTTTTAAAAGGGGTTTTGGGTTTTTCTGATTGATTTGAATTCCCAAATTTGGCCAGTCCCTAAAATGGTGAATTTTTGATTGGTTTGAATTGGGCTTTTAAAAATCAAAAGCCCAAGAGGGGATTTAATTTGGATTTACAGACTTATAAGATTCAATTTGGGTCAAGTTTGACCCATCTTGTCCGGTTTCAGGGGTAAAAAATAGGGGTGTGAGGGGTAGTCTAGGAAATTGGCCTAGGGAATCTCATGGTAACTGAACTAGGAAGCTTCTAGGAAGCTGGGGTTGGGGTTAGTTGTGAATTTCTGGTTTTTTAACTAGGGATATCTAAGCTATAATGAAAATTCCAAAAGGGGCAAAATGCAAAAACTGATTCAGGGCTGCCCTAATAGCTTGCCTATAAAGGCACCTTACCTTGCATTTCAAAAGAAGGAAGGGAAAAAGAGATAAAAAAATTCAGAAAAATTACAAGCGGCTGAAATTTTGACAAAAGAACACTGTTCTATTGAATTTTACATTTTGAGTCTTAAGGTCTCCACTTCTTGAATCAATTTCTAGGTTATTTTGGGGTCGAAATAGATTGAGATCGAGTTTCTTTAAAGTCTGTTTTGATGTGTGCTGGGTTGTTGTTTGATTGAAACTGATTTCTGGACTGCTGTACATCATTTTATGGGTTTGAAATTGGTTTACTGATTACCTCTTGTTGTTGGATTCTGCTTTACTGCTGTTGCTGACCCTTTACCTCCTATTTCCTCTCATTTCTAGGTATTTTCTAGCCTTATGGAGATCAATTGAATGTAATTCGAAGTTTGTATCTAAGAGAAATGTGATTAGACATGATGCTGTGTGAAATTTTCTAATTAGAAAATCAATTTCTGGATCTGTGTGTAATGAAGTGTTTTGAAATCGAGTTCTGGATCTATGTTCATATATAAGACTTAAGAGTCAATTTTTGATGTAATGATGTTTTTCGTTTCTCATTAGTTTGACCTTGTATTCCAAGGTGTAAAGTAAGAGTTATTTCCTTGACTACCATTGTTTTAACTCAAAGTAGCATATTAATTACTGCTTAGTTTTTAGAAAGAACCTGATTATGTAAATTCATTAGTGAATAGGATATAATTATGTTTGTAATCAGTTATTTCTTGTTGGATGTGTCCTTTAAGCTCTTTGTTCTCAATTAGCCTTGGTTTGAAATATGAAACAAGTTATGGTTGTCTGCAAAGTTCGAAATCAATGCAGTATTCTGAATCACTTTCTGATTTTAGGCCATTGTTTGAAATTTCCTTTTGGAGTCCAAATTAGTTAGTTTTTTTTGTATTGGTAAAGATTTGTGGTGGTATTAGATGCTGGATGATAAAAATAAGTTGATATTGTAGCCTTCACATAAGTGGAACGTGACTAGGTGTGTTCCAATCAGTAATTATTTGATTCTCTTAGAGCAACACAATTTATTGTGTCTCGGTACTTGATTGAAAGATGTTCAGTAGTTTTTTATGTTCTTGAAACAATCTTATTTGTAAGCTCAAATGCAAATGCTCAACGTTTTGGCGTTGAGGGCTCGAACTGGGGCCTCGATGTTTGTTAAAGCTGGTCCATTACAATTTGGATTTTCTTTTGAACTCGACGTGATTTGTTTCTGATGGTTGATTCGTGAATGTTGGGTCTCAAGCCAGGCCCAATTTGGGGGCTGCTAATCAGTCAATAAGATTGAAAATTTTTTTATAAGTAGAAGTTCTGCAAAGTTTTCTCTAATTAATTAATTGGATCTTCAAAAGTAGATGAGAGAGGAGCCATATCAGATGACACAAATAGTTTATGGCCCTCCGAGAATTAGTTTGAATTCCCTTTTAAAATTGGAATTGAGGTGCGCCATGCCAAACAAAATCCTATGATGCTTGGCCCTCGCTTAATTACTGCTTGAACCCTTAGAAACCGAGGCGTGCCATTTAGCAAATTTCCGTGGCCCTCTCAAAGTTGCTAACGCGTAGTTGCTTTAGGCGCGTATTTTAATAATTTACCTTCCTAAACTCGGGTGCACATTTATGTGACCCAAATCCAGATCTCAATGATGTTAAAATATGTCAAAAACCACGGGTGCATTTAATTGACGTGGTTCGAGACGTGTTTTAATAACGTTGCAATTTTCTTTAAAAAAATGAATAAAAGCGGTTAAAACTAAAATTTGCACATAGGTTCAAAATTGTCTAAAATCATATAATTAAGCCGAATATAACAGTTCTCGGGAGTGCCTAACACCTTCTCCCGGGTTAACAGAATTCATTTCCCGGATTTTTGGTTCGCGGACTATTAAACAAAGTTATTCTTTTCCTCGATTCGGGATTTGAACCGGTGACTTGGGACACCATAAAATTATCCCAAGTGGCGACTCTAAATTTAATAAATAAATAATCGCGTTTCGATTGTCACTTTAATTGGAAAAACTCCATATACATCCCTTTACGCGGGTGTAGGAAAAAAGGAGGTGTAACAGAACCTGAAAAGAACTGGTCTACATTCCCGTCGAATGTACCCATGATCAACAATGTATCTGATGGGGTGACCCGCGATGCTGGCAGAGATAACTGAAGGTTGTATGACAGCATGCTACTGGAAGGCTCATCTAGCTGAGGGAAATAACCCGGCTGATCATCTCCAAGATCCTCATCTCCAAGATCCTCATCATATGCCTCAACAGGTGGGTCGACAGGTGCCTCAATGCCCCCTTGCTGGGGACCACCTCCTCGCCTTCCCCCGCGACCTAGTGGGGCACCCCTGCTTCGTGCCCTACCCCTGCCTCGTAGGACAGCCCTACCCTGATGGTACTCCTCTGGCGCTGCATACTCAGCCTCGTGATCCAACCTCGCGCCATCTCTCGCTTGATACAGGGTCCGACGAGCCAGCTCTTACACCCGCCGACCATACTCAATGACTGCAGCACTATCGCCATGCTGCTGCATCTCCTGTCCCAACTGGTAGAACATGTGATGACCAATAACCTGCGCAACATTTAAAATATTAATTAAATAACGCTATATCACAATTATAAGATATTAATAATCCACAAAAACATACCAGTGCCTCGTGCCTCCCAGCGTATGGTCTGTACCGATCGCCAAGTACATGAATGGGGTTCCTGATCATCAGTCGGGTGTGACAGTGGTACCATGACGTATGCAGCTCAATAGTGGCCTCCTGGATATGTGAAGATGGTGGAGGAATAAGGTACTCACGTTAGTCCCAAATATGGACCTACTACTCTAGCCATCCTACAGATGCATCGTCCACCCTGGTAAGGTTATCCAACTGATAATGTGTAGGCAGCCATGCAGGCTCCCCCAGTATAGTTTGGGGACGGTGAAACTGGCGAAACACACGCTCTATGGCATGATGCTCAACCACATTGAAGAAGATCATCAGGACGGAAGTGCTCCAAAGTAGTCGGTCGACTGAGCAATAATCGGGTAGTTGAGCTAGCAACTCGTCGCTGTATGACATCCAGATGAACTATCAAATAATAACATAAAAGTGAGTATGCGCAACACAAGTGAATTTATAACAAGTTTAGGTACATATTTACCTGTCCAGCCACCAACATATCTAACACATCCCTGACAAGGGGGAGATTATGATGAGCATCAGTCCCTCGGTAGTTCCCACGCCGCAGAACCCACTTCGTAGCTAGAGGGAGAGACGAAGGTGCTACACCCGTCTCTAGTAGTGGTAGAGGTGGATGCAACGACAGGATCCGCTGCCAGGCCCAAACCTAAGATAAATGGTTGACGTAAAATTTAAGAGTCATTTTGACCATATAGAATTTGGAGTAATGAACAGAGTATTCGAAAATGTTATCACCTTTAGAAGAGGCAGAAAACCACATATGCCCGCCTGGCTGCCCATGATCGCCTGGCATATACTCCTATACAGGTATGCTAGAATAGCATCACCCCAGCTGTACCGGGGTAACTCATCTAACTGTTGTAGATGATGCAGAAAGCGCATACTCACTAGATTTTCCGAAGTGTTCGGGAACAAGACACCCCCAAAAAGAAGGAGCAACGCCAAACTCGTGTACCGATCAATATGGATAGCCTCTGTCTCGCCGGTAATGTCGGGTGCAATACCTCCATATGCTCTCTGATAGCTGTCATAGAAACGCGACTGCCCCCTCTAAGTATAGCCTCACCCTGTGGTCTGTAACCAGTATACTGACCCAGCAAATCCAAATACTAGGGATGTGTCATAGCTCTTATGTACTGGGGCAGTGCAACTACCAGTCCATCTACATGCATCCCATACAAAACCTCAACATCCTCAAGCGTGATGGTGGCCTCTCTAGTGAGCAGGTGAAAAGTGTGCATCTCCGGTCGCCACCGCTCTATCAACGGCATGATAAGAGACCAAACAAACTGCATCCGCCCAATCCGAAAAATCGTAAGGAAGCCCGTAGCCTCTAGGCGCTCGACTACGCGGGGATGGAAATGTCTCTGCCTCAAGAAGTCCCACAAATCGTTCGGTCTCCTGGCGCTGAGAGTCTGATCTAATAGATGTCCCTCCCATACATAAGAGGACATATAGTCTCCCTGTAACACTAATATCTGATCCTCGACTGGTCCAGGATGCACAGGCGACAAGTCCATGTCGTCTACTGTAATTTAAACAATATTAATTATGTGTTTTTGTTATAATAAATTAAATAATTAATTATTTAATTGGACTGAGTATTTATCTATGGGTTCTAGGCTCGATATTTGAGGCCTAGTAGCACCAAACTATCCTTAATTATTATGTGTGTCAATTTCAATAAGTTTAAAATTTTGTTAGTTTAATAAATTAAATAATTAATTATTTAATTGGACTGAGTAATTATCTATAGGTTCCAGGCTCGGTATTTGAGGCCTAGTAGCACCAAACTATCCTTAATTATTATGTGTGTCAATTTTAATAAGTTTAAAATTTTGTTAGTTTAATAAATTAAATAATTAGTTATTTAATTGGAGTGAGTAATTATTTATGGGTTCCAGACTCGATATTTGAGGCCCAGTAGTACCAAACTATCCTTAATTATTATGTGTGTTGTGAGCACGTGATTTTTTCCCTATATGAGAATTACTCCCAAAATTCAAAATAAAATAGTTTTGTGTTATTTGCAATTTTTGTGAATTTTGTGTTATTTTTCTTGTATTGTTTGCATTTGTCTGAGCATGTTTTATCCGTTAAATTAATAAAAAATACAAAAATATGTCGCATTTGCATTTAGGATTTAATTTTACAATTAGAAGTAATCAAGTTTGTTTTACAAAAATGAAAAAATCAAAAAAAATAATTTACTTTGCATTTTTAGCATTTAATGTCAAATTGTGTGATTTTATTTTTAATTGTTATTTAATTTTTGTGTGATAATTATTATTAAGGGTTAATTAGTATTTTTAAGTTTATTTTGGTTTTACAATTTAATTTAGAATTTTTGGTAATTAGGAATTAAAAAAAAGGAAATAAAAGGAAAAAAATGAAAGAAAGAGAGGAGGAATCAGAACCAGGCCAAATTTCTTTAGGCCCAAACCAGAACACACCAAATCCAGCCTAATCCCGTCCCTGTACCCGATCCAGCCTAAACCTGCCCCAGCACTTAAACAAAACGACCCCGTTTCGCTTGGGCTTGATCACAACCGTTGGATTTTTTGTAATCCAACGGCTCACATTAATTCCTTCAATCTAATATACCAAAATACCACAAACCCATTACCCCCTCTCATTTCCAAACACCCCC